TCTGCAGACGAGGGAGACGCGGAGAAAGCCCCGGAGTACACGGGCGGCAGGACCGCGAGGTCCCGCATTCCGTGTCCTCCGGGGCCCCGTTCGTAACTGCGGATCCGCGTAAGTCGGGGACTGCCTGTACTCCATTTAGGACGGAACAATCAACTGCAAACATATAAAATGGGAAATGATTTGGACAAACTGGAGAAATGGTCTAAGGTAAATATGATTAAATTAAATAAGGACGAATGTAGAGTACTCCATTTAGGAAGGAACAATCAACTGCAAATATATAAAATGGGAAATGACTATGTGGAAAATGACCACCTAGGAAGAAATACTGCAAAAAGAGATTATTTTCGACAAATGAAAGGCGAGAGTGCCCCATTCATGGATCACAGTCCTGGGCTAGCTTTGATCAAGCAAATGTGATCCTAGAACATATTAACAAGAGTGTCGTGAGCAAGACATGAGAAATTCTTCTTACTCTGCACTGATTAGGCCTAAACTGGAATACTGTGTCCAGTTCTAAATGTCACATTTCAGGCAAGATGTGGACAAGTTGCAAAAAGGTACAGAGAAAAGTAATAAAAATGCTTAAAGGTCTAGAAAACATGACCTATGAGGGAAGACTGAAAAAATTGGGTTTGTTTAGTCTGGAAAAGAATACTGAGAGGGTATCTAATAACCAGGGCTTGACAAACGGCGGCGAAAACCGCTCGCCAGCCCTGTACTGCGCATGTGCAAGAGCTGCAATGCGCATGCACATGCCGCAAATGAACGGGGTGCGTGGCTGGAATCTACTCGCCATGGGCAAGTAGATTGTATCGTTTGTCGAGCCCTGGTGATAATAGTATATAAGTACATAACAGTCATCAGCATGAGTAATAAAAATTGTTCTTCTGAACCTCTGAGGATACGACAAGAAGAAATGGACTTAAATTGCAGCAAGGGAGCTTTAAGTTGGATGCTGTCAAAAGCTTTCTAACTGTCAGGGTGGTTAAGCACTGGACTTGATTGCCTAGGGAGGTTATAGAATTTCTATCATTGGAGATTTTTAAGAGAGGGTTAGACAAACACCTGTCGGGAATGGTCTAGAATAATACTTACTCTCAAGGTCCCTTCCAGTCCTATGATCCTATAACATCCAGAGTATCTCTGTAATCATAGGAACTGTAGGAAATGTATGAGCAATTTATATTCCTCCCCAGACAATTTTATTTATATAACCTCCATCACATGGATCCTGCACAAAAATTGAAAATGGTAATTAAAATTAAGTAATTAAAGTAATTAAAATAAAGTTGAGCCCAGTAGTCCAAACAGACGCAGCTATTCTACCAGCTCATCTGCAAAGTGCAGCTTATTAAGTTTTATTAGGAAATCTGTAGTCTACAGCAAATGTGATACGGAGGTAGCTTGCCAGGCTGCAGGAGATTGTACAATAGAGGGAAAGAAGGAGGAAGGTCCAATAGCTTGCAGACAGTAAGGTTTTTAGCACTGTGCTGAGAAAACATTGTGTCTCAGATTCATACACTGCCAGTAGAGCCTGTGTTTATACTTACAGACTTGGTAACCCTAAATCACCACTGGTGGTAGCAACAGTAGAACCTACTACTAGTATAAAAAAAACTCACACAGGGCATTTTAGATTACATGGTAGGAAATACTGGAATCTTATCTGTCTTTAAGCTTCTTCCTTGGGTGTCAATGCAGTAGGTAGTGAACTATAGCTACAAGGTTTACTAATGTAGAAGAGAAGACTATGCAGAACATTGAATAATACCAGGGATCAGTCTGGCATCTGATGAGATCTGAGGATGAAAAATAGATTCATAACCCAACATTTTTGCAAGCCTGTATTCCGTAAATGTGTGAGGTGAGAGGATATGTTGTGATGATTGGGTTGACAGTTTTACCCTAGTTGTACTTTTTAAAATTAAGTTTACATGAGAATTCATAAGATATCACAGTAGCCTATAACTACAAATACTGATGGGGAAAAGGTATTGTGACGGTCAGGTCAGTGGGTTCCAAAAGAGTGCTAGAAGGAAAGTATGTGAGCCTTAGACTAAGTAGGTCTCTGTTCCCTGAGTAAAATGGCAGGGGCTGGCCTAGAACCAGCAGGAACTTTCCAGAAGCAGTCTGGACAGTCAGGCCAGTTAGAATATCTGGGATTAATTAGGAGCCTTCCACAGCAAAGGGAGTCAGGCTAATTAGACCACCTGGGGCCAATAAAGAACCAGTTGAGACTTGTTTAAAAGGGCTCCTTTTCTGTTAGGTGGCACGTGAGGAAAAAGGAAGGTGCCGAAGTACGGAGGCTATGTCTAGGCTGCATTACTGGATGTATCCCGGAAAAGCAATGCCGTGTTCAAGGAACACATCCGCTTTTCCCCCCAAAAAATTGAAAAAGCAGATGTGCTCTTCTGCCAATCTTGTAAACCTCGTTCTACAAGGCATAAGGGATATGTCAAAAGAGCACTTTTTTCCTAAATTTGGCGCCATGTAGACGTGCCAAATTTCGGAAAAGCCTCTTCGAAAGTAAATCAGAAAAAGACATGCAATTTGCGTACTGCAAATTGTGTATCTTTTTCCGATTTAATACTGCAGTCTAGACGTAGCCTGAGAGTGAGAGGAGTTTGGGTGAGAACTGGGAGCTGCAAGGCAGGAAAAGAGTGTTGGAGGATCAGGTACCAGAGGAAAGGTACTGGGAGGGATCGTTTGGGGAAGTTGCCCAGGGAGGTAGTTGCCAGACAGGGAGTAGAATAAACCCCATCTGTTACTGCTGTTTTAGGGTCCCTCAGCCGGAACCTGGAGTAGTGAGTGGGCCTGGGTTCCCCCCACCCTGCCCACACCACTACAGAGTCCCTCTCTAGATAGGGAGACCAGAACTACAGAGGGACTAACCTGTGATGACTGTGGCTCAATGTGTTGTGAACCCTGCCTCTAGGAAAAAGAAAGAGGCTGTGTGCTGGGACACAGCAAGCCTCTGAGGCTGAACACTATCTGCCAGAAATGCAGGACCCCTGGGCACAGCCATAGCTTTGCCATAGTATGAACAGGAAACAAATTGAATTAGTCCAAACAAAAAGGCCCTATTGGTATAACTCAAAGACTCTGTTAAGATTATGCTTAGTAAACAAGAAAAGTATGGAACCAGAAATCAATAGACCAAAATTGGCGTGTCAAAAAGTAGGCCTAATTTTTGGACAAAATGATGAGTGGATGAGCTATTTTGCACATAATTTTCTTTGTGCATCCTTAAGGAAGGAGACTTTTTGTGAGGAAATATTAGTTACTAGAACAAGTATTAACATAATGGCTACCATCCCCATTGTTTTCTTGGACCCTGATGCATAGGGAGAGACCTATGTTACATCACCATCTCTACCAGCTATAGATGAATCCCAAGTACCTTGTGGGATCCAAATTCAACAGCAGTTCTAGCCCATCAAAACTAACTTCTCTTTTTCTCCAAAAGGGAAAGGTGACATGGATGACTATCTTTGATATCTGAAAGACTGACAAAATAGGGTTCTCCTTCTGTAGATGTTTTTCAGCTAAAAGTAAAGGGAGCAAGGAATGGTGTTAAAATTAAAACCTTATAATATTTTACATTTCAAATGCTTTAACGATTTTTCCTTCCTTGTTTATTAACATTTAAAATAATTTTTAATAGAGTACAGGCAGTCCCTGGGTTACGTACAAGATAGGGACTGTAGGTTTGTTCTTAAGTTGAATTTGTATGTATGTCGGAACTGGTACATATTGTAGGGGAAACTCTAGCCAAACATTTCTCCAGAGCTCAGTTTTATTCTCCCACACCTCACTTCCCTCAGTCCTTTATTCTCAAGCTGAGGTGTCTGCTGAGAAAAGCCGCTCCGCGTCTCCCTGGTCTGCTGGGGCGGCGCTAGCGTCGCGTCTCCTTGGTCTGCTGGGGGGGCTCTAGCTTCGCGTCTCCCCGGTCTGCTGGGGGGAAGCAGCTAGTGCCTCACCCCGTTTGTAAGTAGGGATCCGATGTAAGTCGGATCCATGTAACCCTGGGACTGCCTGTATGTGCCCGGGTACTAAACAGGCTGAGGTCTCTGTATACCAAACCACAGACATTATTTTACACAGCATTCCTTGTAAGCTGAGCTCTTGGGTGGCCACCCAGGAAAGATTCAAATGCCACCTAACTGAGCAGAACGCCCACACCCAGCAACACATGTTTCTACTGGTGATGTACATCCACACATGCCTTGGTGCACATAAAACATATTCTGTACATGTCTGGAAAAAAATTAGAAGAAACATTGATTTAATGCTGTTTAATATTCGACAGTGACTGAGTTATGTTAATGTTTTTGGCCCATATATTTGATCTAAATGCATTCTGCTGTATGTACTGGAACAGATACGTGAGTAAATGGAGACATTTTTCTCATTTTTGAGAATGAGCCAGAAATCCTATATGTAGTGAACCCAAACTCTGGGTTTATCAACAACTTCCCTCACAGGGATGTTAGAGTTTAACCATTAACCGATAAGCATCAGCTTATCGGTTAAATTCAGCTGGTCCCTGGGGAGGTGGCTTCGTTGCTGTAGTGAAGCCTCCTCCTTGGGAGCTGAGCCAGCCGGAGCTGGCAGTTCCACTTCCAGGAAGAGGGCTTCACTATGGGCTGTGCAGTATGACATTAAGCTTTATACTGCAGAGCCCGCAGTGTGTATAACTGCTCAGATTTTTAGCAGATACACAGTTACCATATTAAATTATTTTTAATATCCCTGCTAGGATTCCATGTGGCAGAACTAGCATAGATTCTGGAGAAAAGCAAGTATATTCTTTCAAACATCAGTTTCCTACAGAAGTGTCCAGCCTTGTGCCTTAACAAAAAATATATCCAGCCACAGTGAATGCACACTACTTTGTTAGCACGTGTTCGTACTTGTGTCTGTTGTACGTAAATTCCTTAGGATAGGGGTTCTCTTCTTTGTCAATTATATCTGACCTGTTGTAAAATGTTCGGGATATCTAATGGAGCTATAACAATTATTAATGATGCAAAGGAAAAAAACCAGTATTTTTTTGTGCATTTCTTCAGGATTCAGTTCACATGTTGATTAACATGGCAGACTTCCATGAAGCTTTTAAAAAAATTCAGCCATCTTCCTTTCGAAGCAGTGTTGGACTAATTGATTTTAAACCTGTTACTTGGGACCAAATTGGTGGTCTTGAAGATGTGAAATTAAAGTTAAAACAGGTAGAGTACAAAGCACATTTAAACAAAACTAATTTCTCCCATTTACCTCAAACTGTTCTATACGCTGCAGTATTGAAAAGTATTCTTATGGGAATTGCATCAGTTTTTAATTCTTACTTAAAATGTTATCCTAATTACAAAAGCATGTTTTAATATTTTTATTTTTTCAGCTCACACTAAAATTGCCTATAGACAGCACTTTCTGAATAATTAAATTTACAATCTCAAAATGTCACCCAGGAGCATACCATAGAAAATTAATATGAGCCATTAGAGGGCAGACACTGCAGTACATATACCCAGCTCATTGCAATTATCCTCAGCCCGGTTGTGACAATCTATACGTTTGAGTATTTTAAACTAAGGGGAAAGTGAGTTCCAGAGGCACCAAGTATGCCTTCTCAGAGAATTTCCTACCCACTGCCTTGTCTGTTATAATACAGGCAGTCCCCGGGTTACGTACAAGATAGGGACTGTAGGTTTGTTCTTAAGTTGAATTTGTATGTAAGTCGGAACTGGTACATATTGTAGGGGAAACTCTAGCCAAACATTTCTCCAGAGCTCAGTCTTATTCTTCCACACCTCACTTCCCTCAGTCTTTTATTCTCAAGCTGAGGTGTCTACTGAGAAAAGCCGCTCCGCGTCTCCCTGGTCTGCTGAGGGTGGGTGCTAGCTTTGCGTCTCCCTGGTCTGCTGGGGGGAAGCAGCTAGTGCAGGGTTGCCTCACCCCGTTTGTAAGTAGGGATCTGATGTAAGTC